CTTCCAAGGTTGTTGTGAGTATTTGTCCATGTCTACTCCTTTTATTACAGGCGGAACTCCAGGGATTTACTCAATACGCTCATTTTGTTCCTTAATCTGTTTCTGCAAGGTTAATACTAAATTTTGCAAATAGGAATTATTCGAATTACCTGGTCCCCCTTCCTGTGGTTCACTGGTGGTTCCTCCATTTCCAGAATTAACAAGACCAGAACGAGGATTCTCCAATGTATTATTATTAGGAGTTGGTGTGGGTGGTGCAGCAGGCAATCGACTAACTAGAGTCTGAAGAGCTTTGCCGACCTGTGTATCAATTAGCTTTTGTAAAGCTTCATTTGCACCTCCTTCAAAGTGTTCAGATTGTTCTAGTTGATCAGCGCAGGATTTAGGAGCAGGAGTGCCTTCACGAGATTGACGTGGTGAATCTGGAGGGGAGGGAACCACGTCAATGTTCGGTAGGTCTCCTTGATTTTGATGGATTTGATTTTCATGGTTTCCCAATGTGTTATCACTGTTATTGTTGTTGTTGTTGTTTGACATGTTGATAAAGACGAATAAAACGTAGCTTCAAAGAAAAGATTATCAGTTTCCCGGTAACTGAACCAATTTGTTTAACCAAAAATATGATTCTTTGGTCAAAGCTAAATACAAATAGAAATTCGGGCTACTGATAATCAGGAGACGAAAAAGAAATAATAGACTTTTTAAGAATGACAAATAAGCAGTAAATAGGTTTGTATTCCAATGTAATGTTGATGATATCCTCTGTCCTTACAAATGACGAGACCTCCTCCTTTTATAGTTGATTCTAAGTAAAGGAGTAATACCTTAGTCTTAATGAGACAATTATGAGCAATAAATGACATTAAATAAGACGTTACACAATCATTCCTATTTAATACCAATTCTCTAATATATTGGGTATTTAATATTGAATTTGGACTCCTTTTCGTCATCACATCCATGTCTTCAATGCCTTCTGATCTCTTGGCTTTAAATGACCTAAATAGGTACGAAGCTTGTATTATTCGAATTGCCTCTCGTGCCTATTTAGCTTTCTTTTCCCCGTATTTGTTGTCACTCGTGCCTCTTAACTGATCATCATGTTTTGACCATTTGACCAGTCCTCATGTTATGTCACGTCACTTTCAATGTAAATTCAGTTTTTTCCTAATACACCTACAACCACCAACTGAAACAACTTGTGAAATTCGTGTTAACTGTAGGGTTGTTAATCAATTTAATTCTTAATACTCCTTGAAAACCATTATTATTTGATTATATATGAACTAAAAGTAAATTTGCTGGCCCTACCTACAATGGCCAAATTTGTACTATTGATATCATGTCGCCTAACGTGCTCTCTACATATGGTATTTGTGCTTTTTTCCATTTAAACGCCAAGATACGGGTCTGGTCATCTCAATACCCCAATCGGTTACCGCAGATACATAAAAATCATCATCGTTGTACCTTCCATTCAGCACCAGTTGAAAAGCGCACAGGGAAAGACACAAATGTTATTATATATAATTTAAATTCTTTTTTATTTTTCTTCCACTATTATTTTCTTCCACACAAGGTTGTTCCGGTGGCAGAAGCGTATGTAGTGTTATACTACCGTGTTCAGCTGAACTCAATACTTTTGTCGGAGTATAAATTTACCAAAAAGAAAAACCTAATATAATAAAGTTCTAAAAATGTTTTTTTCCCCAATTTGGCTAGAATAGATTATTTAAAAAGATAATAACAATTTTTTTTATTAAACATGCCACGTGGTCAAAAAATATCCGCATGGCAACAAATGTATCATACTTCCTCTGACTGAGGTCAAGGTGGCGAAGTCCTTCAAACTGTCAAGTTGGAAGGGTAATTAAGACCAAAAATAGTTAAGATGTCCACTAAATAAAAGGCAAAATACATAATTTGTCATCTGATCTATGGCCCAAATCCCCCTTACACATTTTCTGTGGACGATAATAATATTACACACGCAATATTTCTAAAGTGTATCTAGTACACATCACATTTGACAGATGGCACGCACGTATTTTACACGTAAAAAAGGCGGGTGAATGTAAAACTTTTGGGTCTTAATCATTACTTAAACGTCATATGTCCAGTCTTTTTTACTTTTAAACTTTTTTGAGTCAATTCTTCTTTTTCTATTTTTAACTATTTCATCTCCAAATAATTTGGTCCCTTTTCCACACCCTACCATCCCACACGTTTTCCTCTTCCCCTGGCCACCCACTTTATCTTCTCCATAGATTAAACTCTAAAACACAACAATAATTGTAGAGCTAGATCCAAGTTCTAAATTAATAGTCATCTCCTCCAAGATTTAACTCTTTCAGATCTGCTAATGAAATCAATGACTAGTTTTTCTATATTTTTTCATAATTTTATTTTCAGATCTGCTGATTCTTTCTCTGACTTCAATTTTTTTTTTTAATTGAATGGGTTTGAAAAGGGGGTTTATAGTGTTTGTGAATTTTGCTCTAAAAATTAATGGCGGTAGTGGTACTGTTATGACAATGGTGATTTTAGTAATAAAAAAAAATTGTAGAAGAAGATGGGCATCTTTAGCTCTTATTCATCTCTAAGAGTTTAAGCTCCATTGACAATATTGAGAAAATGGGACACGGTACTACTAACTATGGCGTTAATGGTGGAAAGATTGTGGAGAAGATGATTAAGTGGGTTAGGCCAGGGGGG